TAATATTTCAACAATTATATATCTTACAATATTTTTAAAATTTTAATTAATAATTAATAAAATCTATTGTATTTCATCTATAATACTTTTAAAAAATAAATAACCAAATACCAAAATAACTTTCAATCATAGTTATAATAAAGCACAGTTCAGTATAATCACAGCCACAATCACAATCATAACTATAGTCATAATAGTTTACAATAATTCCAAATGCACCCTATATTGTATTGTACTATATTGTAGTTGTTGTTTAAACTTATTTGAGCACTTGTGTATATATATTTTTATAAAAAGTATTTTGCAATTTATTTTTTTTAATTTTTTTATAGGTTTCTATTTAAGAGTTCATTTTTTAATTAATATTTTCAAAAACTAACTTATTAGATTGAAAGTATTATTCATATAAATCATGTATCTCAATTATTTTATAAGATATGTCTAAAAACCTACTTCCATATTAATATTTTTAAAAACTAACTATCAGACTAAAATTTATATTAATTAGATCATACATGTTAATTTCATACTAATATAATATTTGTAATTTTTTTATTATAAAAACTATATTCAGTAACATATTTAAACGATGTTAATTTTATGTAATTAACTTGCATTACACTAACTTCCTTTCTTAAAGTGTGCATCTTTAAAATCTCATGAAGGAAAATATTAGTACTAGACTGCAATCCAGGCTTTGTGTTGTTCATTCGTATTTTTCTTTTCTATAGACTTTTGTTAATTATAAATTTTTATAATAATAATTTGAAAAAAATGCATATCAATCTTGACACCTAAAATAAATTGAAATTTTAACTTTAAATTATGTCATTTTTTAATTAAAATTTAATTTAAAATTTAAAAATTTATTTTATTAAATATTAATATTTAGTTTTAAAAACTGATTATATAAAATATATAATTGATTTCCAAATCTAAGTACTAATATTTAGTCAGGAAGATTTTTGAATTTTGAATTGGAATTTTGATTTTCAAATTAATATATGTTAGTACTCTAATTTTAATTAGGAATTAGAACTAATATGTGTTAATTTTTAATAATTTAATATAAACGTATCTTAAATGATTCTTTTTGTTAATTATTAATTTTAAATACATTAATTCATATAAAATTGTTTGAATGGTAGATATGAAAATCTTTAAGCCTTAAAATTTAATTAAGTAATGACAAATTTTCATAAAAATAAAGCCATTTCAATGTGTATAACAGCTTAATTATCTATATTTAATGTGATTGTTGTATCTCGATTTTAAAAAAAATTAGAGTTCTAATCTTAAATAATGTTATTTTATTTAATTAAAATTTAATTTAAAATTCAAAAAATTACCTTATTAAATATTGATACCTAGATTTATAAAATAATTATATATTTTAATATAATTAATTTTCAAATCCATGTATTAATATTTAATAAGATGAATTTTTAAATTCAAATCCATGTATTAATATTTAATAAGATGAATTTTTAAATTTTAAATTGATTTTTTAATTTCTAAATATATGTGTCAATATTAATAATGTAAATTTATGAATTTTGAATTAAATTTTAATAAAATAAAATAACATATTTTAATATTAAATTTTTAATTTTTTTAAAAAAATAAAATTGATATATACTAACCTCTTATAATAAGGCGAATGGAATTGTATGATTTATATTTTTCAGTGATGGGAGAAATCTGTTGATTCTAATGATAAATTTTAAAAAATAATAGTTATGAATTCATTTTTTATGATTAATGATTCATATTATGTCAATATTTCTCCTCGCATCAACTTTTTATGCCTATCAGGCTAAATGGTTTGATGGAATCTTTTTTCATCTTGTTTTGTGTATGTATTTTCTTCGTACTTCTTTTTTTTCTCTTTTTTCTATTTTACCTTTAATTAATTTTTCTTAAAACTCCATGCCCTCGTATATTATCATTTTTTTTTGTATGAACCATTCGGTATCCAAAAGTTTACTGAACTACTGACTAATTCAGATTCAAGCCGAGCAGGACTCAACGGGCGATAAAGCTCTCCCTCACGAGTTTTAACAGAACTCCATTCTCAGAACTTGAAATCAAAACCTCTTATTAAATTGAAAGAGTTCTAGCCAACTCATCCATCCGTTAATGGGTGCCCTCGTAGATTATCATTACATTAATCTTCCTATACCACATTCAACCTCATTTTATTTACCCTACACTCACCTTCACTTTTCCTTTCTATATTAATTATTTATTTGTTATTATTTTGTTCAGCTTCATTGTTTTTCTTATTATTCTTTCTTAGTAATTCTGTGTATCTCCATCTATTATTATACAGACTTATTTGATATAGTAATTTAGGAGTATTGGTTAGTGATTTTGTTCAAATTACTAAGAATAAATGTTTAGTAAACTTATATATTATAAAATTATTGCAAAAAAAGGTATTTGGTAAAAAATTTTATTTAACAATTTAAAATTAACATATAGCAGTCAAATCTAAACCGATAACAAATTGAAAAAACTAGTTTAAATTGTTTTTTATACCTAACCTCTTGCAAATTAGAATTTTTTAATTTTATTAACAAATTTGTCAATTTTAATTTTTTAATTTTTTTATCATGATTCTTAATTAGTACTTATCTAATTAATTTCAATTTTGTTTTTTGTCTTTAATAACATTAAATAGTTATTATATTTTTTATTAATTTATTATAAAAAATGTTAATTTAATAAACAAAATTGGTTAATTAGACAAAATAATTAGAATTTTTTTCTTTATTTAAAAATAATATAATTTTAATTAGTTAAAAATAAAAATAAATTTTTAATTATGCTATTCTAATTTATTTTATTTATTTATTTATTTTCTTATTATTATCTTTTTAAAATTAATAATTTTAATAATAATAAATATACTTAATTATTTTTAAACATATATTTATTAGTTATTTAACGTTAAATAAGAACCGTTAACTATTGTATAATCAAATAATTATATCAATCAAATCCACTATCTACTATTTATTACCGGCTTTCTACTACTCGCCACTAGCTATTTGCTAATCGCCACTAGCTATTTGCTAATCGCCACTAGCTATTTGTTAATCGCCACCTGTTATCCGTTACTGCTATTTGCTATTCGCTATCCGCTATCTGCTATTTGCTATTTGCTGACATTTAATTGTTATACCAAACAGATATCTTTATTTTACCCTAATTTTCCTTTCTCTCTCTCATTGTCTATATTAGAAATGTTTTTGGCCAATACATGAGGGGCGCAATTTCTTAACATTATTTTTTAGTTCTTTTTCACTTACCTTTACTACACTTCTCTCACTATTTTTTTCTTGCAACTTAATCTCTCAACACCTTCTCAATATTTTATTTGTATATTTATCTTTCTACTATACCCTATATTTGCTATCTCTTTGCCTCATATTGTCA